AGCTTGACCTAAAGTAACTACTCTTCTGACCTCTAGTTTTTTCTAATTTTTAACACTTTTTGTCCTGGTTTTTAACTTTAAAAATTGAATTATATTATGTTCACTCATTTTTTCACTTTTGGCTTAGCTTCTTTGATTAAATGTTTGTGTATATAGTAATAATTTGTTTCATTTTATTTCCTGTAGATTGTATATGCCTCAGTGAAATGCTTAGTGTTGTTATGAATGGTTTTACACATGTCTTTTCATGAACCTTGTGTACATTTATTTTAGATACTGTTTGGGCTAGGATTGCTGGGTCATAAGCTTGTATGTATTTTCAGATTTAATACAGAACGATAATTTTCTAGTTGTCTAATCTAGCAGTTTCACATCCCCTAGTATTTGGTCCTGTCTCTCCTTGTTTTAGTTAATGCGTATGAGTTAAAAATAAAATAGGATTTATTTGGGTGTTAAAAATTTAGCCCAAGACCTACTTTAACATTGAGCCACAGCCTAAACAGAAAGATTTTTATAAAATTTTCCAAGTTACTGCTCCAAGTTTCCCTGTCTAGGAGAATTTGCTACTATTTCTCTTTTTAGTAGCTGCTAAGTGTAGGTCTAGCTTCAGTAATGTCACAGCTATTTTTGATCCAGCTGTAGTGTTCTCTACTATTTAACCTCTTAAGATAGGTGATTTAGTTTATACCTTTTCTTACCATACTTCTGCCGTTTTCCCGACAGAATTACCTGTTTTAAATTGATGACATCTATAGTCTGTTAACTCTCATAAGCAGTTTGTTTTAACTATTATTTTCATTTCCATGTTGGATGGATCACATTTTCCTGTTTGTCTGAAGTTTTGTAAATTTTTTTGGTAGAAACTAGAAGTTTCAGGTAATCCGTTTTAGGAATTTGTGGGCACTACTCTCTCCTACCCCAGTGCTTGTAACAGCTTTGTTTGTTTTGGGACTGAATTTTTAATGCCGTTTTCACTCATGCTCAGCTCTGGTTTGCCCTCTCCCCGCTCCAGCTCCCTGTGCTGCACCACTTCAGTAAACGCGCCCTTCTACTCTGTTACCACAGTGATCTTCCAGACAGGATCTTAGCATGGAGCCAGGCGACCCTCAGCTTAAGATTTGTGCTGGATTTATAGGGGTGTACCAGCAGGCCTAGGTGTTTGCTTGTTTTCTAGTTACTGTCTAGATTCTTCTAGTACCATCTGTATCTCAGTCAGTGTTAAGCTTCTGATCTTGAGTCTGTTGTTTCTGACAGTGCTGTGAAGTATAGAGTGCTCTTCTTCAGACTAATCCCAGTAAAGTGTGACTCCTTCGGCAGCAGTTTCTGTAGTAGGTGCTTGATATTTGTCTGGTCCTAGGAGAAATGCTCCCAGCTCTTTTAAGTTATCGTGGTTCTCCTGTGGAAGCTCAGGAGCCTGTCTTAGGGTGTATGTTCCCCGAGCCCTTGAATCTTCAATGAGTTTCCATAGTCTGTTGTGCACCAAATTGGCTTTGTTAGAGAGATTTGGAGAGTTTTGACCTCTGTGCCTCCTCCTCATCTCAGCACAGCATCTGTGCCAAGACTCTGAGAGTAGTGTGGAAAGGAAACATTGGAAGGGTTTTCTCTGGGTGAAAAAGAAACCCCAACGTTAGGAACTGAGCATTGGGTTGCCACAGGCAGGTCGATGAGCTTCAGCTGTTCTCCCTGTGGAACTCTGGGCCAGGTAATAGGCAATTAGGACCTCGGTGGTGTTTTCTCAGGGTGCTGTACCCAAAGTAGACGCCTCTTTCCACAAATCAAAGGACAGAGTTGTCACCTCTCTACTGCCCTGTTGAGAACTTAGCCTCACAGGTAGGTAGGTAGCTAGGGGATTGGCGAGAACACCGATCAATCCTTTTCCTTCCAGAGACAAAGTCCTTTACTCAGAGCTATATCAGTCTGAAGCAGAGTCTGCCTCCCTGATTTTATCAAGAAGAAAGGGAGCCAGCCATCTTGGTTCATTTATCAGACTTGGTTTTCTTACTAAGTTTTTATAGAATTATTTTGAATAGATGTTTCTTCATTTACTATTTGCCCTTATGGCTGTTTCAGAGATGTTGTTTTGTTTTTAATTTTCTTCCAAAAAAAAATTCACGGATTTTACTGGGGAGCGGGTTAGATGATCTCACGCTGTCTTCCTTAATTCTAGCCTTTCTAAAATTAGTATTTAAGTTTTCTACAGTAGGGGGAAGTGCGGATAACTTGCTAATTTTCTGCGAGCCTGAGTGGGAAAACTACCATTTTTAATTGATTGGTTGGCAGGAGATGGTGGAGTGGAAAGGTAAAGACAGAGGAGCAGCAGCCGGCTTTGTTGTTGGGCTTCCTTATGGGGAGGGAAAGGCTTTGTCTTAAGCAGTTTTGAAAGCCAAATGTCCTGTCCCATCCCTCCCACCCAACATTTACCCTATACATTTTTGTTGTTGTTGTTGTTTATTTTACATCCCTCTTCTCTTCCCAGTCCCTCTCTCTCCCCACCCCGTTTCTGTTTAGGAAGGGCAGGTCTCCCATGAGTATCAACAAGGCTTATTCTTTGACTGGCTTGCTGAATGACAGCTATACCCTTTTCAGTGTATTCGTCTTAAGTGGAATGCATATTTCTGATTTTAATGTATTTTATGCATAAGCATTCTTAGCAAAACACTGTAGGTATTAATAAATTCAGATTAGACTGTATATCATATACTGTTTAACTCATGCTCCTCTGAGAATTGTGATGTGTTTTGACAAAGAGATAGTCGTAGAACAGCTGTAATTTAACTAAATAACTTAGAATATTAACATTGTTTCTAGAGAATGTAATGATATTTGTAATTTTTAAAGCATTAATAGATTTTTATATGTTCTTCAGAGGCTGTAAGGCGTATGTGTTCAAAGCTATCAGATACAACATTGTATTAATATGAAAAATCTCACTTCTGACTTTTTTTTTTAATCTCAAAGAATTTAGAGTATGTCTGAGTCAAATGGCTTCAAAAGCAAATTACTGTAAAATTTTGGAGAAACTGAGGGGCTTTCTGCTTCTTATTCTAGTTTAAAACCAGAATAAAGCAATGGACATTGACCATGTTCCTACTTCTTCCTTCAGTAGATTTTTCCTTTATTCACATTTACTGGCAAGTAGGGCTTCCCCTCTTCTATCAGTGTCCTTCCAGATAAACCGTAGTACACTGTTGATAGCCTCCAAGTGTTTAATTTTTAGTGTTTGTGTTTTATAAATCAGCTCAACCGTACTGAAATGCTGAGTGCATGAGGCACTCTGGTTTGTGAGAGGCACAGGCAGTTGTGAGATGAGGCCATACTGGAGATTGCAAGGCTTAAGTGGCCAGCAGTGACTTCGTAGACAGAAAAGACTTGTTACATTAAGCGGATGCATGATTAGAAAGATGAATTGTGGCTGGGCATATGCCTGGGAGGTAGAGTCAGGTGTCTCTCTGTGAGTTTGAGGCCAGCCTTGTCTACAAAGTGAGTTCCAGGACAGCCAGAACTGTTACAAAGAGAAATCCTGTCTCTAAAAAACAAAAACAAAAAAAAAAAGAAGAAGAAAGATGAACTGTGATGGATTTTGTATTTGAGACTGAGAATCTCAGTGACAAAATCTCTTAGAATCAATCTTGCTGTGTAATCTATGCTGGTTTTAACCTCTGGGTTCAAATGATCAAGAGGCCCTAACCTCTTTAGTAGGTAGGATTACAGATGTATGTCAGCACACCCAGATGTTTTTTTGCTTGTTCTTTTAAACGTTAAAATTTTCTGAACGGGCTGGAGAGATGGCTCAGAGGGTAAGAGCATTGCCTGCTCTTCCAAAGGTCCTAAGTTCAATTCCCAGCAACCACATGGTGGCTCACAACCATCTGTAAAGAGGTCTGGTGCCCTCTTCTGGCTTGCAGGCATACACACAGACAGAATAGTGTATACATAATAATAAATAAATATTTAAAAAAAATTTTCTGAACAAGTAAATGTCATGGCTAGTGTAGGTTGAAAATCACAGAGCTTCAAGCCAAGTTTTTTATCATCTTCTTGTTCTGTACTTTAGTGGAAGAGTATGAGTTGTGGTTGAAGTTAATATTCTGCTCTTTTTAAACTCCTCCAATTTCTAACTAAGCTCAGGCACTTCCATAAGAAAAAGATTATTAATGATAACCACACAGTGCTCCAGTAAGTCATGGGTAGCTGAGATGTTTCATAGTTTGGGCTTTGATAAAATCAGTTTATCTTGAATTCTGGTTGGGTCCTGCTGTGTGTGTAAAGTTGAATTACACCTTTAGTAACCATTCTAAACTTCTCTATCTGGAGAGTGGAGTGTATAGTAACACCCAGCATAGAGTGTGAACATTAAGATAACTCATATAAAGCAATTCCCATTGCCAGCAAATAACAGGTTCAGTAATTACTGTTGCTGCTGTTTGCTACTATTTTTTTGTATATATGTATATATTTATTTATACAATATTCTGTCTGTGTGTATGCCTGCAGGCCAGAAGAGGACACAAGACCTCATTACAGATGGTTGTGAGCCACCATGTGGTTGCTGGGAATTGAACTCAGGACCTTTGGAAGAGCAGGCAATGCTCTTAACCACTGAGCCATCTCTCCAGCCCCCTGTTTGCTACTATTATTTTTTTATTATGTACCAATCACTATCATTTTGTGTCCACTGACCATACATTCTGGATTTTGACCATGTATTGTAGGAATTTCTCATCTGATCCAAAGAATCTGTCTCCATCAAAACTTGAGGGCCTCTTGGATTACCCTTTTCTGTATTCTGAGTGTCCTGGGCTTGTCAGTAAGGGTGTCCACAAGCCACAACTCATGGGTGATACAGAGAAGTCACTCTTGCTTCCAGGTGTTACACTTTGGTTTTGTAGAGCTACTGCATTATTAACTATTGTGAGTCTTTTGTTAAACAGGCAGGTATTCATTATGCTCCAAGCTATGATTATTATTCAGAAATTTAGACTTATCTTTACTTTTGTCAGGTTTAAGCCGTTTTTTCCATACCAAGCCTTGCAAGGATTTGAAGAAGATGAAGAACTTATTCATATTCAACAGTGGGCACTTACTGAAGGCCGGCTGAAAGTTACATTGTTAGAATGTAGCAGGTATGTTCTTTGTTTTCTCTTTACTGCATGTGGGCAAGAAAGTATGATAGATATGTACTTAGGACTGCTTATTCTGTTTTTATGTTAGTTTATATTGTATTATTTTTACATTAAATGGTTAAAGCATAAATTTAATGAAAATAGTCTTTTCCAGTTTGCAAAAATATGAATCATATTTTAGAATGTGTCTTTAGAAAGACACTTGGAATATTTGTTTTTACATGCACATTCCTGTAGTGACATTTTTATCCTTTCCTTTTGAGGAGCATTCCTAGCATAGTAGTTTTGAGAATTGTGATTATTAAAAATGCTCACTGAATTGACTAAACCAGACTTTGAACCAACCCTGCGCATTTGAAAGTAGTCTTTCTGAGCTTCGGTGTTTTACCAGCAGAGTCCAAGCTGTGTTCATTTCTTGCCTAAATCAATGAGTACACTAGCTTTACCATTCATTCCTAACCCTTGGTTCCCACTATGACAGCCAGAATGACCTTTAAACTGCAAATCTGATGTCACTCTCCTACTGAGAGCTCAGTAGCTTCCTTCTTGCTCCTAGATGGCATCCAGATCTTCCCCGATACATGAGCGTCTCTTTATCCAGCTTCTTTTTCCTGCCTTCTCTTCAGCCCTCACTCATAGTGTGTCAGCTACAAGGGCCTTCTTAGGAGAAGGTCTGACAAAATTTCCTCCAGAAAGTCAGGGTACTGTGATCTCCCCAACTCTGCTGTGCGGTGCAGAACCAGTCACAGGCAATGTATAAATGGGTGGGCCTGGCATGTACTGAGCACTGTGATTGTTTTTTAACCACTTAAAAATGTAAAATCTTTTGATAGCCCACATAAAAGAGAATGAGCCTGGGTTTGGACCACAGCCTGCCACTTTCAGCCTAGACATCTTAAATGACAGCTCCTTACTGTCTGTCATCTGCCTTCTTGACCCATACTGCCTCATGCTTTTTGAAACTAGCCTGTCTTGGTCCACTCCAAAGCTACCTCCTTATTATCTGCTCAGCATTCTAAATACAGTACACTGACCTTAACTGCATTCCTGTGACGCTTGTTTATGCCACCGGCTACTTACCACTTTTACATTTTTCATTTCTAACTCTTAATACAAGTAAGTACTTTAGTAGGGTTATATTTTGTACCTAATACATTTGAGTCTTTGCAAGTAGATTAATTCTGATTTTATTGATTATATACTAACTCATTTTCTTAAGTTTTGTGGTAACTGAGGATTATGCTTCATTCTCTCAGAAAGTCTTACCAAGAGTCTTTAATTGAAAAAAGGAGGTCAAAAATGCCATGTAATTCATAAAAAGAACTTAGTGTACAATAAACTTAGTGAACAGTAGGTACGAGGCTAGATATTTAGAAAAAAATTAGTTCTTCTGCCAGAATGTTCCTGGAAGGACTTGAGGGTTGACTCTGTGTCTGTTAGCTCGTGGCCATTGACTCTTCTTGTTCAGCCCCCTGTGCCTAAGCTGCATTAGTATAGCCCATGCTGACTGAAATACATGATACAAAGAAAAGCATTAGAATTTGTGGAATACTTGCAACCCTCTGTATTTTAATTAGGAACTGCTGGCTGAATTTCTGAAAATATAGAGGAAACTAGTAGACTTATTCAGGGAAGAGTGTGGGAACTAGGTTCATGATGATGTGACAGCCAAATTTTTCACTATAAATGTTTTTATATTTCATTTTTTTTTGTGACTGTCACCTGTCAAAAATTAGATTAGATACTTTTAAGAGTACAGAACAACTTCATGTTTGGAATGGGTATACTATTAAAATAACTTTCTAGGCGTTGTTTTTAATAAATGCAAACAGATAAAAGCTGGCTTTATGATAAAAATGTCATTGTTCATATAATTTAAGAATTAATTAAAAGTGTTTATATAAGGGAGAAAATAAGTTGTTTTTCTCAACTCATCCTAACCTTTTTAGTTTCATAGTGAAGCCTTTGAATTTTTTTCTATATTGTATTACTTAGAAATCTCTAGAAGAGGAGAACAATAGTATGACTGTATATTAGAAAGAGTACTTATTAAAAGGTTGACATACACAACAGGGACTAGTTAGTTCAACAACGGCTGGCTGTTCACCAGAGGTTCTAAGACTTGGGTAGCTTCTCAGTTATGAGGCTAGCACTGAAGACCTGGAGAAGCACTGGTATTCAGTCCGTGTTGGACGGCTAGAGAAGCTGGCTTCTGATGTCAGCCAGGGATGATAGTAATAGGGTAGATAGATGTTCTCATCAGTAGGAAGTGCAGGCAGGCAGGCAGGCAGGCAGGCAGGCAGGCAGGCAGGCAGGCAAAAGCAATGCTATTTTTTACTTGAATCTCTTTACACATGGGCTGCTAGGGAAAGGTGTTTCCTGCTCTGAGGGAGGATCTTTTCTGGGAAATCACTTTACAAACCCACACAGAAGTGTGCCTCTTAGAGGATCCCATGTTTATTTAAGTTGACAGCCAAGATTAACCATCACGTATATTCTATTATTCTTTAAGATTTATTTATTTATTTTCATTTTATGTGTGTGAGGATTTTGCCTGCAAGTATGTTAGTGAACTGTGTGTGCCTGGTGCGGGCAGAAGCCACAAGAAGGTTCTGATCCCCTGGAACTGTAATTATGGACACGTGGTGCTGGGAACTGAACCCAGGTCCTCCGCAAGAGCAGCAGTTTCTCTTAACCACTGAACTGTTTCTCTGCCCACCTCCCATTCTTATTAAAGCTTATATTGTTCCTTAGTATAGAATTCTTTTTTACTTAATATAAACATAGAACTTCCTATTCAGATAGGTTTTATGAGATTCAAATTGAGAAATTTTCATAGTATTATTTCAACTATCTTGTTTTGAATATAAAATTCTTAGTTTATTATCATCTCCAAAACAGAAAATGATAGCAGAACGGGCAAAAAGGAAAGAAAGATAAAAGTGCATTTACTTATAATTTTGCATTTTGGAGATGACATAAAGGCCTAATATCATTGAGATAATTTTCACCATAATTACTTACTGATATGAAAATTTTTTAGTGAATAGAACATTTAAGTGTAAGACAATTAAAAATGTTTTTTAAATCATTTGAACATAGATAGGTAAAGTTCTGAATTTGCTTGCTATGATGAGCTGAAGTTTGATGGGGTTTTAGTAATTACACACATACATGCACACGCACACACACCCCAACTAATAAATAAATAAATACTAAAAAAAACTTCCAGTAATTTTTCTCCTAATCTATGAAATGGAATATGATGCTCACTATCTGTTGTCAGCCATGGCTCTTATAAAGACTTTATTTTTTTTTTAAACTGTTTACTTTGAAATAATGAAAAATTTGTGTGTGAATAGTGTTGATTGAGTTTTCTGTCCTGCCCAGTCCCTGCAATCGTTAAGTCTCAAATAAATTACACAGAGGTCTACATTAGTTATAAACTGATTGGCCCAGTATCTCAGACTTCTTATTAACTCTTATAACTTATATTAGCCCATTATTCTAGTACATGTTACCCACATGGCTCAGTACCTTTTTCAGCGGGGCAGTCATACCTTGCTTCTTCTGTGGTGGGGCTTCCTCCTTCCCAGCATTCTCCTGTTCTCATTGCCCCACCTCTATTTCCTGTCTTGTTTTCTGGCCTATACTTCCTGCCTGGCTACTGTCCAATCAGCATTTATTTAAAATATATTTGACAGAATATAGATTACTGCCCCACATCAGAATAGTTTTTAAACATTTTATCTATTTTGAAGTAATTGTAGACTTAAAAGCATGCATGGAGGTTTTTATCGAACTAATATGTTAAAAGATTTTGAGAATATATTTTCCCAATGAAATTTTAAGATATATTTATTTTTTATGTGTATGATTGGTTTGCTTGAAGTATGTATGTCTACCATATGTGTGCCTGGTACCTGCAGAAGTCAGAAGAGGGCATCTGATCCCCTTGGGACTGGAGTTAGAGATGGTTGTAAAACTCAAGTGTAGCAGGGAGTGGGGGGTGGGGTGGTGCACGCCTTTAATCCCAGCACTTGGGAGGCAGAGGCAGGTGGTGTTAAGTTGGGAGCCTAGGCCCCAGCTCCCCAGGCCTGAGAGGTGTATAGGTCTGGACTCCAGATCCCAGCATGTGGGATCAGGACCACTCCCACAGAGTATTTATGTGAGCTCCCAAATTTCACCTGGTGGTCCTGTTCCTGGTCTCCCGGCTCCCACTCCTACCAGAGAGTGCAGGAATCCCATTAAACCTGAATATTTCTTGATATGGCTTGTTTTGATTTGGCTTGATTGGAAATTTGCATTGGCAGAGAGCTCGCGTTAGGGAAAATTCCTAACAGGTGGATCTCTGTGAGTTTGAGCCCTGTCTGGTCTACAAGAGCTAGTTCCAGGACAGGCTCCAAAGCCACAGAGAAACCCTGTCTCAAAAGAAAAGAAAAAAAAAAAAAGACCTCAAGTGTATATGTTAAGAAGTTAAATTGCCTCAATAACAGCTATACAGAGATCAGTTCCCCCACTACAAATGAAACTTAAAGAATCTCTTAGTTTACTTTTTTTTAACTTTAACTTTTTTAGCTGACAAAGTGTGTCTATCTTTTGTGACATGCTTTAAAATATGTATACATTATAGAGCTACTAAGTCAAGGTAGTTATTTTCCTAAAGTTCACATATTTTCTGATAAATTGCACGTGTTGAAGAGAAAATGATTCTGGCTCTCAGTTCTAAGAGGGATTTATCATATTGTTATGTGAAAGATATAGGGTGATGGAATAGATACATTGAGAGGCTAATTTCATCAACACTTTGAAAAACAAAACCATGATCAGTAAAGTTTGTTATGAGGGTGCTGCACTCCACAGCAGTCCATTCAGGGCGGTCTGTTCTCCTTTGAGCTGGACGATGCTAGTGCAGGTCAGATCTTCACCGAGTCACATTTGCTCTGTTCTAAGTCCTGTGTTCTCTCAGCAGCTTTTAGGGTGTTGTTTTCTTGGGTTCT